ATGGGTGATTTATTCGGAATCTATATTAAAATCGAAATTATTCAAGCAAATTGTGCATGGGCCATACGTTTTTAGCACCATTTTTGGTGCATCAAAGAATTTACCTACGAAGATATTTTCCGAGGAAGTTTGAACACTGTAAAAAGAAAGCACTAAAACATTACCGATTTTAGGTATCAAAGTAGAATCAAATGACTATTTAGTACCTGAAGTCGGTATTAAATTAATACCTTTCTTTTTACACTGAATTACAAAATATAAAATAATTAAGAATTAGGCTTTTAGCGTCGTCATATGATCGAAGGAAACGTGCGGTAGAGGAGACCGGGGTTACTTGGCGCACTTTTTACTCTTTGTTGTGTAACTCATTCATTTTTGCTTTTTAAAAAAGTTATTGTATAGAAAACTTGTTGTAACATCTCAGCTTTCCCAGCAAACACTGTTATATATCTGTTCTAGAACTGTTACAAATTTCTTGAGAACATGTTCTGTAACTGGTTAAGAACGTGTGAGTCACTGGTTACGCAAAACGTCGTACTCAGCAGGTATGTTCAGATATGTAACAAATCTAGAACGCGGTTACAAAGTCATTTGTAACAGTTCTAGAACTGTGTTGTAACAACTATGAAAAGTGGTATGTAACCAGTAAGGAACAGAGTTCTGTATTTGTTACATAACTAAATTACGTAACAGGGATAAAAAAAATATTATGAGGCATTTTTTGTCAACGCGGACACCCCCCTCTCGCCCAAATTCTTTTCATTTTAAATTCATGTTTAATGGCTTAAATTTTAGTTAAAGGAATATACTTTTGAAATCTGAGTGGCATATTTCCAAATACAAAGGGCTAAAAAGGCCTCAAGCATTACTTTTTGGATTGTTCAAAATGAATTAGAGTAACTTTTTATTGGTAAATTTAAAGAATAACCTTTATATTGGATCCTATATTTTGTTTTTGGATATTTGCCACTCAGTTTTCAAAAGTATATTCCTTTAACTAAAATTTAAGCCATTAAACATGAATTTAAAATGAAAAGAATTTGGGCGAGAGGGGTGTCCGCGTTGACAAAGAATGCCTCTATATATGTGTTACGTAAACGTATCACAGTGTAGGAACAAAAATCTATATTTGTGACATAACATTGTTTCAGTATGAATATGTATCATAGTTCTTTAAATGAGAAGAACAGTAACACAGAAAATTAAAAGGTATTAAAATAAGCTGCAACGCTTCTTATTTTAATCCATTTTTACTTATTTTAATACCAAAATGGATTAAAATAAGAAGCGTTGCAGCTTATTTTAATACCTTTTAGTTTTCTGTGAATGTAACAACGATCTAGTGTTGTTATACATGTTGTTCCGAAATTTCCAAGACATTTGGGTATTTTGTAACGATCTTATTTTTGAGAAAAAGAAACTTAAATGAAAGATTGTTCAGAATAACAAAATCAAAGTGCACATTTTAACATATTTTGCTATTCTGAACAAATTTTTAAATTTTTTTGTCAAAAAGGCTATTATTACGAGATATCCAGACATCCCTAAAATTTTAGGACACCCTGTACTATTGTGGTGCATAATAAAGTTGTTATTAAGTTATATAATTTATATTTAACACATTCTTATGTCATTAAAAAATTAAATGTAAATGTTTATATCGAGTTAATTTGATTTGACTTTATATATTATTATTATTATATTATATACTTTATATATATTTAAGACAAAGGACAGCTACATAACATTGTTCCTACACAGTTCTAGAACTACGTTGGAACATCACTTGCAGATCATTTGTGACTGTCGTGTTATAGACATGTTACATAACATTGTTATAGAACTGTGACGTTATCATAATATAGAACAGTTCTGTCACTCTTTTGTAACAATGTTCTAGAATTCAATGACAATGAGGTTATATAACAGATTCGTAACCAACTTGTAACAACTGTTCTGTAAAACTGTGACATCACTGTTATAGAACATTTATAGAACGTGTTTGCTGGGTTAATTTTAAAAAAAGAAAGTTGCAATATATTTAATACTTTTCTTTTTATACCACTTTATTTGAAGCTGTGCAAAGCGCGCCAAGCAACCCCCCCTCTCCCGCGCCCTCCCGGCCGTGGTTGCGTGGTGCAGGAGTGAAATTAATTAAATTATATGATTTAAAGTTTAAACAATGTAAGACTTAACAAAATAAATCATGTACTGTAATTTTACAATAAAATTATTTTAAAAATTAGAAAATTTCATTTAAATTAAAAGCATTTTCAATGAAATCGTGAAATTATAAAAAATATTTTTTTTTATATAATTACGCTGTGAATAGTTAAAAACCCATTATTCGGTTAAATTTTTTTAAAAGGATTGTTATTGGTGCTTACTAATGTGTAAATTTTATATAATCAACTTCATTTAATCATTTTATTAATATTTAACGAAATTTTGAGATAACCGCGCCACCTAACCCCGAATGTACTTTTGAGATATTTATTAATTTTTGTTAAAGACGGAAGTTAATTAACAAAAATAAAATAAATAATTTAAAGAGAAAATAATAAATGTTTAGAAAAAAACACTGATTTTATTATTTAATAATTCCGCTAATTGGCAAGCGTAAATTCCTCTTCGCTAACAAAGTTAGATTAAGGTAGAGGACTGTCCCCCAGTATATTATCAATTCAATAAACTCGGATAGACGGTATTTTAGACAAAATGATCAAAAAGAGCGATATAATAAAGACATCAAAAAGGTGACTAAATAAATGAAAACGTAATTAGCACAACAAAAGAAATCCGTTTATCCATTCAACCCCCAAAAATATACATTTAGTTCCCCAATTGATCATTAATAAAATGTTTACAATTAAAACAACATTTACGTTAAGCTGCTTGACTGAAAATCAAGTCTCACAAGAATAATTTGTTGCAAGCAAAACAAAGAGATCAAATAAAAGAAATTTTCAATAATAAGAAAACAATTTGTGTGTATGAACTGTGTGTTATGATGTTTGTTTTTCGTTTATAGATTCTATATGTTTCAATTAATACATGTAGATTTAAAGCAACTCACCAGAATAATGATAAATAAAATGTTATAAAAAGTATCAAATTACTTTTCCAACTCTTTAGAGTTTAAAACTCGTACTTGATATACGATACTCAAATATGCGGAAGTCGTTTTACCTTCCTTTATTCTTTATATTTTCTTTCAATAAACTTGTACTCCTTAAATATTGCCTTTAAACAATTATTTCAATATTTCAAAATCTGCCTTTTAAAAATTCAGAGTATTGGGTTCACCAAACCTGAATTTTCCAAATTTTACTTTATTTTATTAGTGGCGTGATCGGTTCAACCACCTGATTTACCTTTATGATTTATAAATATTTCCTAACTTTCCAGACTAATGTGGCAACTTCTATACATTGTAAGTCCTACAATTAGCAAAATCGATTTGTAATTTAGTTCATGTTATTTCGCAATATGAAGTTCAATAATCTCAATTCATTTGCGAAATAACCATTGATTTCAAAATTAAAAATAAATGAAAAATAAAATTATAAATAGTTATTAAATTGATTTAAAAAAAATAATTGAATATTTAACATAAGAAAACTTATGTGTGTTTGTTGTGTATGTTGTTGGTGAGTAATTGACAACATATTTGTAATATAAATTAACAAATATTATTTTTAATAAATAATATTTAACAAAAAAAAATTAAAAATTTACGGAATTCCGTCCGTAACAATTTTTTATAAAAACTGTTAATATAAATCAAAAATTTTTTTTGTTTCTTAATAACAATAGATTGAAGTTTAATATTTTTATTGCAAAGTTTGTTTATACTTTCATCTGTCAATGTTTTGTACATAATTTATACAGAACGTTGTCCTAGAAACAACAGATTATCGTAATTGAACAAAATTTACAGTGGTAGAAACTGTGTGGTTTTTACAAAGTAGGCTAAACCTCACTAATTCTAGTCGATAATAAGGTTTCTCGTTGTCTAAGCTAAGCTTTAGAGGTGTCAAGAAGATATTTAATATCGCAAGTCTTTTATAACAATGTTGAAATTTTTGTTTACTATTATAAATTTTTTTAATTAGAAACAAAATTTTTAAAAATTTTATAAATTCTCTCAAAAACGTTGAAATCTGAAATAAGCAGTTGACTTCCTTTGTTTGCGTTTGGATGAAATGAAATTCATTTATAAAAAAATTATATATGTATATTCAATATTTTGTTAGTTGTTACTTTCGTTTGTCAGTTTAAATTCTTATTAATTTTTTATTTTTATAATAAACAATAACGAAGTTTAATTTAATATATATATATATATATATATATATATATATATATACGTTTGTAACATCATTTTAACATTTGCAAAAAATTAATGTTATGTCAACATTAGACAAACAAGTTAGTTGTTTATGAGTATACCCAAGTAGCACGTAATGTTACTGTAATATTAAAATGTCCACCTCATGGTAATATTACAAATATTTCAAAAACATTTCAAAAACCACTTAAAAATATTTGACTGATTAATTATTATTTTTTCTGTTTTATTATAAACAAACGTAAAAATTTTTATGTATTTCAAATAAGCGTGTAATATTACAGAAATATTACAGTAATATTGCAGTATTATTACTCTAATGCTACTGTTTTTAAAATATAACTTTGTTCTCAACTTAGGTAGAATAAAGTTAGAATATTATAGTTTTCTAAACATCATATCCAACATTAACATCGATTTTTAACAAAAATAAAAAATAGCATTACCATTCAGTTTTCAAAACTCTTATAGGTAGAATAATTTTTTGAAATTTCTATGATATGATATCGTTTTATATGCCTTGAAAAATTTCAATTATAAGTCACAATTATTTTTAAAAACTGTACGTAATAAGTTGTTTGAAAAATATATTAACTTGAAAGTTAAAATAAAAAAACTTACAATTTTTACATATATTTTTTTGTTGCAGTTGTCGGAAGGGTCTTGTCTAAGATGACATCAATAATGCGTAACCGTGTCATAGAGGCAAAATATACATGGAAGAGAAAAGTAATTGTTTGGATTTGATGAATTTGGAAAATGTATAGTCCAAGGTGTAAGAAGTAAGAAGTTCGAATGTTAGATAAAGTGCATGTGGTTCGAGAAGTCACTTTGCCAGCAGAGTGGACTAGTAAAATTAATAAGACGCAGAAGTGGAGAAAAAACCGTGAGTGGAGGGATACGCGGTCCAGCCTTGGTCCGCCATCCTGGCGGTATGGTCCTTTGGGCCACAATACTATTCCTTCAAGGAGCTGGTCTTGTAGGTGAGATTTGGAAAATATTTTACATTACACTGTATAAAATAAATAAACATAAATTTTGCTCATTTATATAACTATGAAATTTTTTTCAGCAATCTATTAATATTGATAGATTGTCTAAACAATTAATTTGTAAAACAAAAGACTTCAAAAAAATATGTTCATGAATTTTCATTTAGGAAATATGATTTTATTAATATTAATTATTTTTATTTGAAACATTGCTTACAATTAGAATTTATAGGTGAGATTTATTAACATGAATTTTTAATTGATAAAATAGTACAGAAAAGAATAATTTTGGTACAGGTTCGATGACAGGAATCAAGGGTGTACCAGAGAATATTACCGTAATGTTCCTGAACCCAACGTCCGTTCGTGTGTCCTGGAGTACAAGCCAAGTCGAAAAAGTGGAGAAATATGATGTTTCATATAAACCTACAGATGCCAGGTGCGTCCCCAAAATTCCGGTAATATATTTATCACACGACTACAAACATTCAAAATGTATACACATACACTACCGTCGGAAATTGTCGGTACGATTGACGTGCGCGGGATGAAATGTTGATGTCGCACCTAAATTAAGATATTTTAAGTTTGAGAAAAGCTAGAGACTTGAAACTTAGATCACCTGAAAGCTGATAAAATTCTGCTTCTGAATATATACCTAGAATTTTTTTTCGACTTTCTGGTGCGATTATAACACTGGAAAGATTTCGAAAAAAAACGTCTAATTTTCCCAATTTCGTACCCAGTTTTTGATTCCCTGCATAATCTAGGAAAATGCAAGGAAAAATTTGTAACTCCTACAACATAATCTTTAAGATCTTAGCTTTAAAAGTAATTTTTAAGACTTAAAAAATATTGTTTCGTTTTTGAGATAAGTTGAAAAATGTCAGAGCATGTTTTTTACACAACTCAGCGTCAAAGATTAGTTCTTGCATCCCCGCTGCTTCGCCCGTTCCTTGCGCCAGGGCCGAATATGCGTGCGGGCCCCTGCTTGAAACCCGTCTTGTATTTTCTCACATTTACAGTTATTGATTATTAGAATATTAATTAATTTATTTAAAAAATGTTATTATTATTAGTTAATTAAAAGTTTAACAAATACTTTTTAATATTGTACTTAAAATTTACCAAATTGGAAAAATGTTCTTCTTTTTCAGAACTTTAAAATTTTTTGTTTAAAATTTGTAATTAATTTTGAAAAATTTAATTTGTAGTACTAATTATTTTAGTAAAAATTATGGAAACAATAATATGAACAGTGTATGGTTAATCTTTTGCATTTGTATGACATATTGAATTATTATTAATTTTTCTGTCTTATTGAGAAGAGAATGAAACAACTGCAAGAATGTAACAATGTTCTTTATTAATTAGTTATAACCAAAAAAATATCTTGCAAACATTCAATTAAATTTAACGTAATTTATCAAAACAATATAATAATAATATAATATAATAAATAATAATAATATAAATATTAATAATAATAAAATATTTATAACATTTATAATAATCAATAACTGTAAATGTAAGAAAATACAAGACGGGTTTCAAGCAGGGGCCCGCACGCATATTCGGCCCTGGCGCAAGGAACGGTCGAAGCAGCGGGGATGCAAGAACTAATCTTTGACGCTGAGTTGTGTAAAAAACATGCTCTGACATTTTTCAACTTATCTCAAAAACGAAACAATATTTTTTAAGTCTTAAAAATTACTTTTAAAGCTAAGATCTTAAAGATTATGTTGTAGGAGTTACAAATTTTTCCTTGCATTTTCCTAGATTATGCAAGGAATCAAAAACTGGGTACGAAATTGGGAAAATTAGACGTTTTTTTTCGAAATCTTTCCAGTGTTATAATCGCTCCAGAAAGTCGAAAAAAAATTCTAGGTATATATTCAGAAGCAGAATTTTATCAGCTTTCAGGTGATCTAAGTTTCAAGTCTCTAGCTTTTCTCAAACTTAAAATATCTTAATTTAGGTGCGACATCAACATTTCATCCCGCGCACGTCAATCGTACCGACAATTTCCGACGGTAGTGTACATGACAAAAATCATGAAAAACCTGTAAAAGAAATATTACGTGTAAAAATATTAACTAATTTACTCAGTGCAACACCAATAAATTACTTTTAATCGGACTTTACCTCAAAAATTTATCTTCAGAGGAAAAAACCGTTTCAGAAGAATATGTATTAAATATATTATAAATAATTTTGGCCCGATTTCAAAGTTACTGTTTTTCATTTTGAAGATTAATAACAAGACTTTTTACCTCTAATACTATTTTTATTGTGATTAAAATTTATGGCATAGTGTAGATGTTAAAAAAAATCTAAAATTAAAAATTTTTTAGTAATCTCTCAATTTTGACATTAACACACGGTTTTGAATTCGAGCAACGAAAACCTGTTTTTAATGTAACGCTGAATTCGAAACATTAGTTCGTTTTTTCACTCCACATCAGGTTTTTGAGATAATTGCAATTTTAATTTTTTGCTACCCACACAGAACCGAAACTTTCCTAATTTATTTAAGATTTACTTGCAAACTTCGCAGTATTTAATTGCAAAGTGTAGTGAAAATTGTCTAAAGATTTAAATGTCCCACTTAAATAAATGTTTCGCCTAAAAGCTGACTCCCAGGTGCGAATTTTTGGTCGGCCCAAAGTTGGCCCAACTTCATCAAAGTTGGTCCAGCTTCTCGTGACATTAGTTGGCCTAACCATACATATGATAACGGTTTACCGTCCTTTGGCGACGGTAGTTGGCCAGACAACTGATCCCAAAGTAGGGCCAACTTTAAATAGGAAGTAATAATAATCATTAAAAAATAATTAAAAAATTAAATTATTTATACAATTAACACATTATTATTATCGGAGACACTACACATAACCTATACTTATCGAATACCTATACGAATCGAACTCTTAACCTAACGCACCGAAGTCTTATACGCTAACCATTATGCTACGCTTACTTGGGATTATAAAAAAAATACATTTAAAGGTTGCAACAGAGAAGAACATAAATTTTAGAAACAGACCAATAAAGAAACGATAATTATATGTAATTTATAATTTATTTTTATTGTTAAATACATTAATTCACATATACACTGCAAAAAGTTGTATCTTCTTGGTATCTTAAAACAAGATGTTAAGACAGAAATGGTAACTTCCATTCGCTTCCATCTTAGAATAAGATGTTAATTTTAATATTTAGATGCTTTATTCCTATTATAACATCTTAAAATAAGACACATTAAATAACTAAAAAGTTACTACCAAAACGTCTTAAAAGTGACTACAAAAACATCTTATATTGACACTTCTTTTTGCAGTGTAAGTCAACCAAAAATTTTAAGTCGCTTAAACTAAATTTTTTGGAATTTTGTCAACCGTCGGACCAACCATCACCCAGAGTTTGGCTAATCAAAAATTTTAAGTCATTTAAACTATGTTCCCCGAAGTTTTGGCAACCGTCGGGCCAACAATCACCCAGAGTTTGGCCAACCAAAAATTTTAAATTGTTTAAACTACGTTACCCAAAGTTTTGCCAACCGTCGGGCCAACTTTCGTCCAAAGTTGTTCCGATTGTTGGCGAAATCCGCTTACCATGGTTGGCTTGCAAAGTCAGGCTAACTATGGCCACATGTAACTGCCAAAGTTGGGCAAACTTTGGCAACCGTAACTCCGGATGCCAAAGTTAGGCCAACATTGGGCCAACCTTCAAACTCTGGCGGCCACCTTAAATTCGCACCTGGGCTGAACATTTAAATTAAATTTTCATTAAATTTTCGTCGCAAAAATTAATTGGATTTTCTTCAAAATTATTAGTCAAAGGTTTTAGAAGTTGATGATTACAAATTTGAATTCCGCACGGAAAAAATTTATTCAGGAAATATTCCTGAATTCGTTCAAGAATGGTGGATATGAAAAAATTCGCTAAAGATTACGGATCAACTAGTTTTAAAATATCATGGACATATTTCAAGAATGAGTAGTTAAATTTCTGTGAAAATTCGTTAACACTTCAAGGAAGAACCAAAAAAAAATAGATTGAATATTTATAGTACTATAGCCAGAAGAAACTAAAAAATAGGTCTGACAATCTCTTGTTAAGCCCAGTGAAACTCCAAACCGTACGGCGACATAATCTACTGTTGTGTTCGGGAAAATTTCGGCTTGTGCTTTCAAGAAAAAAAATTCAAAGATATAAACAGAAACAGCATTTTACACACATACACATACCAACATATAAATGTAACAACACTTAATACACATATAAACGCAAACTATAACTACAAACACAACCTATACTAATAAACATAATGTATATATGCTCGCAACTACAACGTTCAGAAAATATATAAAAATGAAAATTATAAGTACTAAGAAATATAGATAATCGATATTAATAACCATTACAAGTTGTACATAAGTAAATCTATATAAATATATATAAATATATATATATATATATATATATATATATGTAAAAATTGTTAATGTATTTTAGAGAAATTTTAAAAAAACTAAATTAGGAAAATCTTATTTTTTAAATAAATTAGAAAATTTAGAAGGTCTTGAATGAATAATTGTAATTTCATTATAATTAAAATAATACATATATATAATATAAAGTATTGATTAAAAAATAATAGATAAATAATAGTATAATTAATTTTAAAATAATTTATTTTTAAATAAAATTTATTATATATATCTATATTTTACATATTATTTTTAATAATTTTTTTCTGTTTTATAAAAATGATTATATTAATTACTAAATATTAAATAATTAAATTAATTAAATCAGGATCCTCGAACCCTGCTATGCAGGGAGAGTAAATGAAATTATAAACTTATGATTTTTGAAACTAAGTTTAAAGATGAGATTATAATGGATATTTGCATTTGAAAAAGACATATTTTGTGAAATAAAAGTTTTTATTATATATATGTATTTTGCGTTCAAATTGAATTGACATAAATCAACATTTTACAGCCATATTTTTGAAATGTAGCTATAGTTATCAGCTAACTTATTTTTACAATTAATTATTGCATTCGAAGTCAAAACGCAGTGAAAATAGACAGTTTCGTCAAAAATTTTATATGCCTGTAGGTGTTCAATAAAAAAGCAATCAACCAGTTTTTTTTGCCAAGATACAAAAATCATTTTCCGGAATCATAATTTTGTAAACTTGGTGTGCTGTAACTGAACCGCACTATAGATATAACTTGTTGAATATATATGCGCAAAGTGATCGATGCGCACTCCAATCTTCCTTTAGAGTTCGGGAATTTTTCAGGCACAAGAAGCAGTGATTGTTCATTTTCAAAATAATGTGATTTTCTTGAAAAATTCAGAACCATTCTTAATTTTTTCAAACTTTGTCTTGATCTCACCATTAATATATCATATTTCTAT